CGTCGCGCGCTGGTCGACCATTTCACCAACGTCATGTCGCACTTGATCGTGCTCCGGGAGACCGAAGCTGGAAATCCATTTCAGCAACTCGTGCTGCCACTGTGTCATAGCAGCTCTACTGTAACGAATGCGATATACGCGCTCGCAAGTGCCCATCTGGAGAACAGAGGCTGCGGTTATACAGAAGAGAAGGCGGTGCACTTCCACAATCAGGCGATCCAAGGCTTGGCGCGGTTGATTGAACTTGGAGGGGACGCGAATAAGAATGAGCTCCTGGCGACAATCATGTTGCTTGTTTACTACGAAGTTGTGAGTGCGATACGAAGGAGTTTTTGACGCATGCAGCTAACCGATGACAGCTCGTGCAACAAGGCCGTTCCAACATCGTGGATGGCCATCTCAAAGGTGCCATCGCCATCATGAATGGTAACAATGCTGATCCCAATCCTACCAGCGCTTTCCTCGAACGAGTATGTCCACTGAAGTCACATTGTGTTTCAAACACTAACCTTTTCAGGCTTTCCGTTTCTACGACGTTATCGCCGCTCTCTCTTTCGGTACAGCGCCGCTATCCACCGCGCCCGCTACAGGCTGCCTTGTTCCGTTTCCGCCCCTCGATGCGCCTTCGACATCGCCCCTCAGCTCCGTGGACACCCTCCTCGGAATGTCCACCACACTGTGGCCCATTATCCATCGCCTCTCTAATCTCCTTGCTCTCAAAACCGAACTCCAGACTGCCATTACCAATGGCCAGCTTACAAAGGTGGCCGTCCTCCGCACCGAGTTCGAAACAACATCCGATGCGATCGAGCACGCCCTCAAGCAATGGCAACCTAGCTACCCACCAGGCTTCTCTCCTGATTCCGTTGACGACATCATGTCAGAGGAGGAGCCTGAGCTGGCTGCTGAGCGTGCGCGCATGCACTCGCTCTTGAACAACGCTCTCGCCTACCGTCACTCGGCGTTTGTCTACCTCTACCGTACCATTTACGGATACACTCGTCGACACCACCTCGTTCAGCATCATACCCATGCGGCGTTGAGCCATTGTGCCGCAACAGTCTCCCACGCTGGCCCCATGGCAGCGCTCCTTTGGCCGCTGTTCGTGGCAGCTTGCGAGGCAGTGAATCCTGCAGACCGGGAAATCGCACGGCAAGCTTTTGTTGCAGTGGAGAGGCGGCAGGGCATGACCAACATCCAGCGTGCTTGGACCATCGCTCAAGAGGTCTGGCGACGGGCGGATATGATTGACGATCATGCGACGTATGATGGATATGACGATCACAGCTCCATGCTCTGCTCAACTCCCGGCAATAGGCTGGGAAAGGGAGGTGACCTGTGGAGGAGAGTCAGCGAAGACATGGGCGTCACGATTGTCTTTGGATGATGATAATGACACAATGCCCAAGGCTTTTTCTGGCGATCCACCGGCGTTGAATGTTTTGAAGCCGTACATAACTGGAGTCATTTTGGTAACGGGACAACACACATTTTAATGAGTAAAGGGCATTATTTCGGAACAGGGGATAGGGGTTGTGGTTTACACAAAAAAAGCAAGAATATCCTAGCGGCGACGAATCCTTTTATTTCCATGGAAGGGGGTTCACATGGAATGAAGATAAGCATGAGGAGGGGTCCGGTGTGGCGCAATGGACGTACCATTTCGAGGAAGATATCATGTAGGCAATGGCCGCAACGGAGCCAGATGTCAGTTCGTTCTTGGGAGATTAGGAGTATGTGAATTCGAGACACTGATATCAATTTGAATTGGGGATTTCAAACGACTCTGTCCTGCTGATTGGCTGCACGTTTAATCATGCATTTTGGCATGCCATGTCAATCCCCAGTCTGCCGTTTCTCGTCCTGACAACGACGTCGAACATCTCCGCGAGCCAGTCTCGAGGAACATCCATCGATATCATAGACGTTCCGCTGCCATTTCTGAGTCCACATGGGGGCCAGGAGACATACGTCACAGGTGGTGGCACTGGGTCAGCGGCTTCCCGGTAGCCCAGGTGGACTGACGCGTTTTCTTTAGGATGGAATCTGGGGAAAATGCGGGGGGCCCGTTGATGACCGTCTTTGGTGTGGATTGAAGCTTTCACATTGGGGGGGGGGGGACGTCCTCAAGCGGGGATGCTTCCCATTGGGAACAACGTCAGGCTGCCACTGGCCTCTGATTCTTATGTCGATTGACTTTGATTGATCGGGCGTCGATGGTTAAGGTTGACGTGGGTGGATGGGATGGCAGGAGTCAGATCGGATGCGGAGTGCATGAGTGTTGTTTGCTGATGACGGCGGGTATGTCTTGGGGTAGGCAGGTAAGCTGGGGTGACCAATTGTAAGGGCTTGGATTCCACCCGGGACCATGCAGCAGTGAGGCAGGTAAGGTATGGTAGGAGAGAGAAGAAGAAGGAAAGGAGATGGGAAATCCGGGGAAGGCAGGTGGCTTCGCTGGGGTGAGAGTATAAGTACGGGTTATTGGTCCGGGGGGTTCGGAGTATAAGGCTATGTGTAACCATGCAATGTCCGGCGGTGTTGCCATAGTATGTCAGCACGAGGGAGAGAGGAAAGTAATTATGACATCGCTGGGAAGAAGCTTTCATGCGGTGATGGCACAGTAAGAAGTGGAAGACATGAAATCTTAGTCTTCGTTTTTTTTGGTGGTATATTCATCTCATGGCTCACCGGGAATCGGTGTAGATGGTGGGAGGCCGAGGTCACCTTTTCCTGACCGAGAAAGTGAAACCACGCGGGTCAGCCTGTCAGATATCGCCGGCAGTGACTCTGATGCAAATGAACCCGAGAGACTGGCTGGGAGATGGGCCTGATTGGCCAGGTTAAATGCGCGGGATCAGCAGCAGCAGGATTGGTGGCTGCTGTTTGGGAGGGAGGACGCGTGTGTGTCTTCTTTTCTTATCTCTTCCCCTCTGGACAGGGCTGTTTTGAAGTCTATTTGATGATTCGGTCAGTGAACGCGAGGAGTATCGTATGTCTTTGGGGTCCTCTCGTCTCATCGAGGTTGACGATCCCCTCCGTCACTTACAGTATTCATCCGTAAATTGTATGGGCCTTGCTCCGTAATTGACAGGCCCCGGTTTTCCGCGCCGTGCGGAGGTGGACACTTGCCTCGGGCTGCACAGTGGGCATTTTAGCGTCTTTCTTAGCGGCACCGGTGGCATTGATGGGTTCCATGATGGGTTGTTGATGGGATTCTCGGGCTGCTTCCTCCATGTTTTTGGTGGCCAGTGGTCCCCAACCCCCATGTCGCACTTGGGCCTGTGCCTTTCCCACCCCGAATTCCCCCCCAATCGCCCAAGGCCCTTCGCTCCCGTTCTGCCGTCCGTCTCCCCCCTCCCGTCCCCATCTTTAAGTAAAATCCCCTAAAAAACACAGACGAACCGGGCCACTCCCCCCGGTTCCTGCTGCCCCCTCCCACCTACCTCGATGGCAATCTAAGACAAGACGAGACAAGTCAGGACGGGAACGACGAGACAGAACAAGACAAGACAGGGACGGCACAGGAAGAAGAACAGACAGGAGAAAAGAACACACACACACACACACACACACACACACACACACACACGAAACCCAACGTCTATTACGCCTAGCCGACGCCCACATCGACACCAACGCCAACGCCAACGTCAACGGCCGGCGTGCCATCGTCTGCGCCTTTCCCGTTCGTCAGTCCAGTCCGTTCCGTCACCTCCCTCGGCCTCCTCCTCGCCCACCTATCCTATCGACGGGACTCTCGTCATCCATCTCTCGCAGCTCCTCACTTCTGGGCTGCTTTTTGCGCCTCCCCCTCTCTCGCCTACCCAAGCCAGTCCAGCTCGGCTCGCAGATCTTCCCGGTCCTCTCGCCTCGCCTCGCCTTCGCCTTTGCCTTCGCCTCCTCTTTGTACCATCGCATCCCCCTCCTCTCGACCGTTGGGCCGTTCTGTTCCTCCTTTTCTCATACACACCGGCTAGTTCTACTTCACACACACACACACACACTTCTGGATTATTCCTCCCGGCACGGAAATGCCCTGGTTTCATGCCGCAATGCGTCCCACCTTTACTGACTGTCAACCTCACAATTGACCCATCTTACACACTCCCATCCATCCGTCAGTCAGCTCCTTGCCTCGACTCAGACTCACCTAGACTCAGCTTGCTGCAAACCGACTGCACTACTCTGCACTCTGCATACGCACAACTACAGCATTGCGCTGTACCTGCTCTTGAGCCCTACCGCTGGACTGGAGCTACAGCAGCCCGGTCTCCACTGAACCCTTCTTTTCCCGCCCGCAGCCGTGAGTGTGCTGCATCCCAAGCTTTCCCCAAGTGGAAGCCAAAAAATAAAATCGAGCCGGAAGCTCTGCTGGTCTCCATCGACTGGGAGCTACACCCCAGCACAAACCACCACCACTACTTCAAAACTACTACCGTCAGCAGCCAGCAGCTCAACCTGCCTGCCGCGAGGTCCCTGGCCGACTAGACCACATCCCCGACCCGACCCAGAGCAGTCGGAGTCAGGACAAGTGCTCTGCTGCGGTGTACGGGTACCAATCTAGTGCAGGGCTGGACAGTGCCTAACTGGAGTCCCGGATACCCAAAGTGCCATTCCCGGTGTGGGTAACCCAGGAACCACCTGCCATCTCCACCAGACCAGACCACGCCAGGAGACCAGGCCCTGACCTGACCGGGAACCTGAACCGACCCGGAAAGACTGGAGAAAGTTTGGAGAGATTGGAGAAGACCAGCAGGACAGCAGAAAAAAACACTGGAGAAAAGCTGGAGACTGGTCTGAGGTCTGACCCTTTTTCTGGCTGTTGGCTTTTTGCCTGTGGCCTGTTGCCTGTTGTTGCTGTCGTTGCTGCTGCTGTTGCTCCCGGCTGCTGGAAGCTCGGCCAAGCAACACACGTCCCGCCGCCGCCAGTCGCCCTTGACCTCCTCCCGCAGCGCAGCATCATGCTGCGTCGCTGTTGAGGTTCCGTCACCTCACGCGCCATGACCTCCATCGTCAACGGAGCTACCCCCGCCCCCAAGCAGATTCGTTTCGTCCACAACCAAGGCCAGCCGCCCTCAAAGAGACGAAGGATCAACGCCGCGTGAGTCATGTCGAGCCCTCTCCGGTTCCCTTTTCCCCTCAAGCGCCTCTGCCGCTCCTGGGAGATGTGCCGTCCGTCTTGCGCTGCCAAGGCGTCACCAAAGCTATAGCTTCCCCCTCTGCGCATTCTAGCTAACTCCCGCTTCCCAGATGCTTGACCTGTCGCAAGCGAAAGACGAGGTGCGCCGGCGAGCGCCCCGTCTGCTCGACCTGCACAAAGAACGGCCACACGTGCTTGGGCTACAATGAAGTGATTGAGAAGAAGACAGCCGGTGGCGCCATCGCCACCAGGGATCCCCGCCAAGACGATGACGACGACGACGAAGACCAAGACGACCACCACCACCGCGACGAGGAGGAACATGTCGATGAGAAGCACAATTGGAAGACGCCGGATAGCGGCCGACGTCCTTCGGTGACGCACAAACCCGCCGGCGATGCTGCCTCGCGGACGAGCTCAGAAGCGGCGACGAGGCAATCGCCTACCTTTGTGAGGCGATCGTCGGAGAACAGCACACGAGACCACGAGCGCCGACGGCCGTCCAATCCGCGAACAACTTCGTTCTCTGACGATGCTCGAAGCACGCAGAGCCGGTCGCCCACGTTGCACCATACCGAGCGGCATCGAGTCCCATACTTTCGCTATTTCGGGCCGACGGCCATCGTCCCTGGCTACAAGCAGATGGTTGTCTCTGTCCGGGATCGGAGGAGAAGCACGGGAGGCTCTGCCACATCGCCCAGCTCCGGGTCCAGTATGGTCCAGTCGCTGGGGATGGCCATGTCCGGCATGGCGCAGCATGACGAGGAGGTCGCCATTGATGAGGACCTGCCGTTCTACGACCCCAACGATGTTGCGCCAGTCCACCCCCTGATTTTGCACTTGGTCAAGGTCTTCTTCCTCCATCTGGGTTGCAACTACCCCTTCTTGAAGGAGGACAGGTTCACGCAAATGGTGAAGGAAAAGCGCGTAGAGCCGATACTTGTCGACGCGGTATGCGCTCTGGCCGCTCGCTTTTCCGATTCACCGCAGCTCGCTCATGGCAAGGACGAGGAAGCATCACATGCTGAGCAGGGCCAGTACTACGCTCAGAGGGCCAAAGCTGCCACGGTCGACACCTTCCCGTGCCCCTCAGTCGGCGCCGTTCAGGCATTGCTGATGATGGCATATGAAGGCTTCGGCGCCGACCAGGACAGTGCTTTGTGGATGTACCTAGGTCTGGCTATCCGCATGGCCGTCGACCTCGGCCTACAAAAGAGAGTCGGGGTGCAATATCAAGGGGAGAAAGACCCTTGGTACACCCGGCAATGGGGCAGCGATGTGGGAGACGACGAGGAAGTTCAACCCGACGACAACGGCCTCACCCATGAGGAGCAAGCCGAGGTCGAACAAGAGCGCACCGACACGTTTTGGGCCGTCTTTATCCTTGACCGACTCATTTCTTCTGGAACCGGCCGACCAGTGACCTTTCGTGACGATGACTTTGAGCTGGCTTTACCTGTCCCGACTCTTGACCCTACATCAGGCTGGCCGGCCCCCTTGCCAATCGTTATCCAAATCGTCCACCTGTACGGCCGCGCATCTGACGTCCTCAACACCCTCCGCAACTCCAGAGACTTGACCCAAGAAAAGTGGGCAAACCTTTCAAAGATAGAGCACGAGTTGACCAGGCTCTACCAAAAACAGGATCCCAGACTGCACTTCAGCGTTGCCAACTTCAAGACCTACCTAAAGGCCGGCCAGGGGACAAACTTCATTCTTCTCCATTTCTGGTTTCATGCGCTCATCATCATTCTCCACCAGCCTACTCTCTTGAGCCCATTTGGCTCACTGAACCGCAACCACCAGCTCCTCCCCAACAGCCGTGAACTGTCCATGTCCAGTGCAAAGACGATCGCCGACATACTGGCGTTTGCAGAGCTCATCGACCCCAAGAGCTTCGTCGGGAATCCCTTCACATCGCAACCCATGTACATTGCTGCATGTGCCTTTCTCATGGAGTCCATTGCCAATGCGTCGAATCCCACCTCGCGAGAAACGTCTCCGCCACCTGACACGAAGACGGAGGGCCTCAGGCCGAGGGCTGAGCAGAAGCCAACGACGAAGCACTCTCTGCTTGCATCCGCGGCTAACCAGAACTACTCGCGCTGCTACAAATCACTGCAGCAGCTGCACAAATACTGGGGCGGCATCAAATATATCCTGACAGCACTCGACCAAAAGTCCAAGGGCATCTGGGACTGCGAGACGTATACCAACGAGGAGTACGAGAGCGCCAAGATCCCACGGCGCGGATCCATCAGCGGCCGCTTCCCGACATCGCCAAATATGCCACCAATTGCGTGGTCATTGACAGGCACAACCAACTCTCCCCCTAGCCTTACGCTCATGTATCAGAACATGCAGGGCGCGTCTAGTCACCAAACCTTTACGCAGTCTCATTCCAACATGCCAAACTCTGCTCCCACGCCGCCTGGGAACATGATTTACGACCCCATCCGCCAAAGTCTCCCCGAACCTCCACCACACTCCATCTTCGCAACGGTGCTGCCGCAAGCCGCAACATCAGCTATGCGGCACACTTCACGACCCAATAGATCACAACGCCTGTCGACCTCTTCGATGGGCAGCCCCCATAGACCGCATATACGTTTCGACAACATGGGCAGAGACATGCCATCGTCACCAGCAACAGCCGGCATGCTGGCAGCGACTTCAGCGCCGCAGCAGACCTCATACACGCCCACGTCGCAGAATTCGTCGAATTACGAGCAGAACGTGATACCCTCCGTCTCGCCAGGCGGTATGCAGCACGATGGCATGCCCTCGCAGCACCACCACATGTCGCAGCAGGCCATGTACGATTCGGCATTCCCCAACGGAACGTATTCGTACTTTGGGCAGGATATGAGGCCTATCACGGAGATTGTCACGTTTGACCAGCCGATCGACATTGGCTCTCTGGGCTTGCCGGATGAGATGATGCCGCAGTCGTGGCTGGAGTACCTGCCGGGCGATGTTTTGAGCAGCTTCTTTGAGAATAACGACGTGGACCCGGGGAGCTGAGGGTGATTTTATACGGGAATATATACCAAGATTTTGTAGGGGCTTTTTACATCGTATCGTGTCGCATATTTCCAGGACATTTATGATACCATTATTCTGGATTTAGTACGGAAGGGAGAACACGGTGTTTGGTCGGCTGAGGAAGGTGTTTGGTTGGATGGGGAAAAGGGTAGCTGGTGTTTCTGTCAGTGTGTGTGTTAATTATTTACGGCCTATTCATGATCTTGACTTGGGTTAAGGAGATGTGCGAAGACTCTGTTCGTGCTAAAACTGGAAGTGGTAAACAAGGTCAAATTTCGTACGCGACGTGATCGTAGCTTATTTAGTCGTAACGGTACAGGATTAAGCATCGTCTCTGTAGGCGATACTCGATCAACGAAAGAAGGAATACCAGTTTTCCAGAAGTATCAAAGTCATGTGGTCAGTGACACATCGCGACTATCGTCGTTCTTTACCGCTCCATAATGAAGAACATTCTTATGTTATGACAATGGTCCCAAAGATGCTACTTCTATGTTACCAAGTCCGGCATCGTCCGCCACACTATGGTCGCATCAAGAAATCTCATTGAGTCTACCAGTCTGACTAGATTGCGGCACTCAAGGCTCGGCCTCATAAACCAAGTTGCGTAGAGACTCAAAAGTCCACGCATCGTCTGCCGTTTGTCCAGTGGGAAGTGGTTTGCTCCATGCTTGCTTGGCTTCGGCCATATGGCGGACGCAAAGCTCAATCGTTGATGAAATGGGCTTGTTTTCCGATGTTACCCTTGCCTGGGTACACTTCGGAGACGCTGACTGAGAAACACAGTAGAGGACGTCGTCAAGTACCCGGACCCAAGATCGTTCCTTGCTGGCAGAAGGAAAAATGTCGGCGAGGCTCAAGCCGCGGCTCGACAGCGCCATCGCAAAGTCCCAATTTCCCGATATGATGGCCCTTTTGAATCTGATGTATGCTTCCTGCTCTTGGGTCCCTGCGACTCTGGGGATGGCGATCGAAATAGCTTGGCTTCTGAAATCGGGAGGCAGACATGAGCACTCAACGATTTCGTTCAACAGATCAAAGTCGATCTCACAATGCTTCTCCTCCTCCTCCGTTAATGCGGCTTGTGACTGGTGCAAATAAAATTCAACAGTTCTCATGTTGCGTTGACGAATGGCCCTCCACAGTCTGAAGCGCCGATCAGTCCAGCCAAAACCTTTACACTTGTGACCCGATCTTTCCACACAATTCTCGTGCAAGCTGAGAACCCAGCGTGCAAATTTGAATGATGATGGATCGCCCGTCGCGAGGATCATGTCGATGATATCTGTGCCACCCTGGGCGCGAAATCTGTGAAAGCATCGTTTCTTTAAATCGATCCATGTTCTAATGGCGTCCGATGTTTCGTCGCTGAGCTTGAAAATAGCTACGTTGGCCAGTAGCTGTAATCCAGGTTCCTGTGCTTTCGAGTACCCCGAATAAGAGATGATTCCGATGATCTCCTGATGCAAGGGCTTCAATGCGCAAGTATCAGTGCAGCGTGACTGCAATTCATGAAATCTTGTGTTACTTTGTGGCCACACGGGGCCACCGAAAGCGATGAATTCAGTGACGAGACTGACGAGACCGTCGTGTGCATCTTCGTCCTGGACATATCCTTCCCGTTCTCGAGGGAATCGAAAGACTCTCCTAGTTGAAAGAAGCTGCTCTGGGATACCGGGATTCAGTTCACCGCGGTCTTTGATGGGCGTTAGAAGACCCAGTAGTGGTTGATGGTTGATGAAATCGGCGAAGATAATTGCCTTGTGAAGCGCGATCCACTCGAAATCAAGCTGCCTCTTCTCGGATACACTGAGAATCGATTTATAGTCATCCGGCACATCGTTCCGCTCGGCCAGCCAGGGCTCCGGATCAAACGTCTCGAAACCTGGTGGTTGCTGCCCAAAGTTGACCCGAAATGTATCTTCTTCTAGAATGAGCTTTATCACTCTATCCTTCCACAAGCTCCAGGTCTGGGTTGTAGACTGGTTAAAACGAAAAGTGTGATTGAACCAGAAGTCTTTAGCGTAGCGACGAAAAGGGTAGCCCGAGAAGAAGTCTGGAAAGTCGCGTCCGCCATCTGTGGGAGTCTCTGCTGATCTGGAGACACCTTTGGGGATATGAAGTCTTCCTCCGGATTTCGTTGGTTTGAGGAGTCGTCCCAAAGCTCGCAAGACTGTGTGCCGTCCGGCGTCCGGCCAAGCATTTTGGGTCGCCTGGTTTCCCACTGCAGTCGGGATATGACGGCCTTCATCCGACCGGGCAATCTGGCTTACGGATACGTCGAGATTTTTGGTAGCTGGAGAAACCTTGGACAATGCTCTCTCGAAATCGCTGAAGTTCAGATAAGTCAGGCAAATTTCTCCAACTTCGTGGTCCCAAGCATTAAGATCGACATGAAATGCGCCAATTTCTGCTGCCTTGTCCTTGAGCTTCATGTCCAGTAAATGAGTCTTGATCGAGTGGTGGAAGAACCGGACGGTCTCATCTCCAGCCTCAATACATACGAGATTCTCGCACCAACTCGGGAGTCGCTCTGTTCCATTCATGATTTGATCCTTGATCAAAGACTTTTGGAGAACCTCCACTGCCAAGGCCTCTCCCAGCTCCCATCGGGTCACTGGGCGTCGGACGGTTGCTACCCATCTGAAGGTTCTCTGGACAATATCAACTGTTGTAGACGATCTAGATGACAAAATTCGCTCAAGCGCTTTATCGAAGGTGTCCGACAGCTTTCTTGGGAGAGTCTCCAAAGTCTGACGAATATCGTGATCGGTGGGGCAAGAGCAAATGTTCTCTATCGTGAGATAAACCCACAAGAACCTGCAACAAGTCAGCAGATCCTTCCGTTTAGACATCTCAAACGCTTTGAGCTTACATGCCCTCGCCGCCTGCTCGCAGTTTGTCCGCAATTTCATCCATGATCGTCTCGTCTCCAACTACCAGCTCCTCGCTACGTCGCTTGTCTGCAAGTATCTCATCGGTGAAAAGTGCCAGATCAGCGTCAGTATCGGCCAGGCCTATTCGCAGGTGTTGGGTCGTTTCCAGAGCTCTTTCAACTTCTTTTTCAATACTCTCACGAGCTGAGATCAGAATTTTGACAATTCCATGGTTAGCTGACATCTGTATGAGCTGAAAAAAGCTTTGAAGCAGATTGCGTTGTTCTTCTGAAGAGCATTGGTCGAGGCCATCGACAACCAGGAAGATTTCCGTGAGTAATGAGATGCTGTGACAAAGCAATGATAGCACAGAGCTTCGCTCGAAACCGCTGGATGCCGCCTTCTCTAATAGCTCTATCAGGCTGTCTGGTACTTCACAATTAGTTAACACCTGAAATATCAGTGATCGTAGTATTGTATCGGCTGATCGGCTGCTCTCGTCGTCAAATCGAATGAATAGGTATGAAACTGAGCAATTTGGCAGCAGCATTTGCACCACGTGGCTAACAATGTTGGCTCTTTTTCTATCGAGTCAGATCTCGATCGTGAGTTGATTGTGTGCGGTATACTCACGCGAGTATGGTTTTGCCCGAGCCAACTGTGAAAAACAAGCTGAGCAATTTTGAATGGAGACTGCAGCTTCAGGGTTACCAACTTTTTCCTGAAATGTTGAGAACGCTGGAGCCTGCGCTTTCGTGCCAGTCCTGGAATTCGCTCGTGCTGAAAATCCACTCTGCAGTCCCTCGATGAATTTTGCCCCGAGCATGGTTGAATGCAGATCCGTGGTCATACGATGACAACCAACGCAGCAGCGAGTTCCACTTTCGTTCTAATTACAGCAGCTTTGTCAGTGATCCAAATGCAGTTGCAAGTGCATCTTAGGCTGACCTTTCTCTCGGATTTGAAGCTCCGCTGCAAACTTTGCCTGCCTACGACTATCGTCTTGAGCTTTGGCAAGGGCTGCTTGTCCCTTGACTAGTTTCGCCTTATCGCGGACCTCATCGATCCGAGGGCGAATCTCTGATTCAAATGAGCTTGTTAGTGAAGCCCATGCTTGCTGTGGCCCTGCAAAGAATTTCAGTATCCGTCGCACTGAAGCTGTAGGGCTGTCGACGTTTACATGTGCGTCGTGTTGAAGATATGACTTGAGTACAACAAGAAATGATAGATGAATGAAAATCATAAACCGAGTTTCTCAACGCAACAGAGTCTGGAAATAAGATCTGGTACTCCTTGAACTGAGGAGTCAGTGTGTCAAAGCCGTTTAAGAGCTCCGAGAACGTTTGGAAGAACGACGTGAAGTTAGCGAGCACCTGTCGGGTCAGCAGCTTTTCATCGTTATGTCCAGTGGGAAAAGAAACAAACAGTAAACGCTAGCCTCACGGATCCCCAAACCAACGCGGCGATCTCTGGATGCGATGACACGTAGATAGAAACAACTTCAGAGAACCGCTGGACCGTTTCTAGGATTGAATGCAGTTTGGTGGCAATGCTCCTTCCTCTGCGGTTTGGATCCGCAAGATCGAGTCCAGCAGTAAAAGCGATGACCTGACTGGCATCACAGGAGACGTCCATTTCTTTCCGTAATCTTTCACGTTCATCACTAGTCAGGATATCTTGGAAGGCTTTCAAGGCGTTCTCCAGCCTTGTCGGCCTGTCGGAGCCAGCCACTATGGCCCTCGACGATGACGCAAGGCTAAGTCGGCCTCTATCCCGACGTGGTTCCGTATGCTTGTCTGGAGCCATTCGAGGAGCGGCGGTTTCTGAATAGCTGGTGGATAGGCGGATTTGAAGGGAGGTAGGTAAAGGGTGATAATGCACCCATAGATTCCACGCAACTCCGCCACTTCAGTGCGAGTTCTGCTGCCTGCATGCTCATCTTCTTTCGGATTGGCTGGGTCGAGCGAAGCAAAGTGACTTCAGTATATCGGGGCTTACCGCATGCCGCATGCCTGGCCTACCATCATTCGAATAGGGGGTCTTGCATGACAGCAAGCTTACTGCTCGGAGCGGCCAGGATTGGGAAGACCATGTGGCCACAGCCTGATTCGACAACCCGTCAAGTCCCTCCATGCTGCAAATTCGTGATATTGCCACGACTTCAGGAGGATAAACATTTGATTCTGAATAGAAAGAGACAGGTCCGGAGACCAGATGAAAATCCACGCGTGGGTGCTCAATTCACGAGCACCAGTAACATTGGTTGCTTACAACAGACTGGGTTGACAAGTATCCGGACAGGCATCCATTCATTACACGCTAACATTCACTCAAATGGACACCGTGCTAAATGTCATTGTTAGCATATCAGCTTCCAGCCTTCCAACGACAAGAACCGCTGTTGATGTCCCTAGTTTTCGTCGCAGCCAGGATGTCGATAGTGGGTGCCCAGACATCTCAACTCCCGCAGAACATACGGCGGAGAACGGTGGAGCCGTGTATCTAACGAGGCGGCGATGAAATGAACAAACATTTTCTGGTCTGCACTTGAGAAGAATTTAAAAATGCCTTTGTAGGTAGCAACTTGAATGAGGTTCATGTCGGAGCCGGATCAATTTTATCCGGTCGTGATGTTGACTGTCAAGGTCTTTCGTTGAAGGAAGCACCCGATGGCGATTTTGAGTCATGATGGAGGGCAGCTCTGACGCAATGGCCGAGATGGCCTCTGTTGCGAAAGACGGCAAGTTTGTTTCAGGGACGTAAGATAGTGCAAGTCAAGTCCTACAACTTTGCAGCGAATGGCCAGCGACGACCGGATAAATATTCAGCTGAACAACAGCAACTTGGCGTATGTTGGAGATTAGGTAATTATCCAAAAATGAATTGGTTTTTAGACTCTTAAAGTGCCCATCCCATGTCCCAGTGACGACACTGAAGGACAAACACATGGGCGAATGGAGCCCGCTAAGTGGACAGTGGGTCCGGTCGATAGAGGTTTTGTGTGTGAAAAACTTGGACCTTGACTGGACTGCGCGGAAAGCCGGCGCCGGTGAACCTTGGCCGACCAATAATCAGCCACGCAGAGATTTTTCCGAGAGGCCGAACGCCCAGAGCTCCCCCCCTGTATTGGACTTTCTTAGCAGAGAGCCAGCCTTGGGGGAAGACAGCACAGAGCAGCCAACCAGAAGATGGCTCGTGCGCCGCTGGCCCTTGCGCAATCGCAATCGCGGGTACCCGAGTAATCCCGAGCCAATCTTTTCCGCTCCAAAGGACAAGTTCCCAGTTTGGCGGGCGGTTGTTCCAGCCGCGGCGCCGCTACCTCTAAAAAAAAAGGCCTCACAAAAATTTCCCCGTTCCTCTCAGACAACAACACAAAAGTTCTTCTCTTTCCCACCCCTCCAAATAACCACCACCTCACGATCCCGTTGCGCGGCTGTTCGTGATCTCTTCTCCCCACTCAATCCTTTTGTCCATTTCTCTTTGGTCCAATTCCTCACCACATATTCACAATGGCTTCCGCTAAGGTTGACGCTGTCGTCGAGAAGGCCAAGGCCAACGCCCCCGGCCAGCTTTCCGGCGTTGCCCTCTACTCCAGATTCGCCCTTGCCGGTGCTGTCTGCTGCTCCGTCACCCACGGTGCCCTCACCCCCGTCGATGTGTAGGTTCAATCCCTCTTCCCAGCCCGCCATATCGAATCCCGTCCGGCGGTCTGCGAGGTTTCACAAGGCAATCCGACGCAAGAAAATTTCACACGCAATTGCCGAGGGAGCTCCGCCGGCACCGCGCCAATGGACACCGACATGGACAACCACGGCTCTATGCCAATTGGTACGCAGAGGCTGACATGTCGAACAGCGTCAAGACCAGAATCCAGCTCGACCCCGCTACCTACAACCGCGGTCTGATCGGTGGCTTCCGCCAGGTCATCCAGCAGGAGGGTGCCGGCGCCCTGCTTACCGGTGTCGGCCCGACCTTCGCTGGTTACTTCCTGCAGGGTGCTCTGAAGTTCGGTGGATACGAGTTCTTCAAGCAGCAGTCCATCAACCTCATCGGCTACGAGAACGCCTCCAACTACCGCACCGGTGTCTACCTGGCTTCCTCCGCCGCCGCCGAGTTCTTCGCTGATATCGCCCTCTGCCCCCTCGAGGCCACCCGTATCCGTCTCGTCTCTGAGCCCACCTATGCTTCCGGTCTCGTCTCCGGCTTCAGCAAGATGCTCTCCAACGAGGGTGTCGGTGCCTTCTACGCCGGATTCGGCCCCATTCTGTTCAAGCAGTAAGTTTGTCCTTCCCGCGTCCGAGCAGCCATAGGCGAGCTCCGACTATGCTATACATAGTGTAGGCGACAGAAGAGCTGACATGTGAACCCCGCAGGATCCCTTACACCATGTCCAAGTTCGTCGTCTACGAGAAGGTCGCCGAGGCCATCTACAGCGCGTACCCCAAGAAGGACATGTCCGACGGTGCCCAGACCTTTGTCAACCTTGGCTCTGGTCTGATTGCCGGTTTCGCCGCCGCCATCGTCTCCCAGCCCGCCGACACCATGCTTTCCAAGATCAACAAGACCAAGGGTGAGCCCGGTGAGGGCACCACCTCCCGTCTCATCAAGATCGGAAAGGAGCTCGGTATCCGCGGCTCCTACGCCGGTATCGGTGCCCGTCTCTTCATGGTCGGTACCCTCACTGCCTTCCAGTTCGGTATCTACGGTGACCTGAAGAAGGCCCTTGGCGCCACCGGCGGTGTCGAGATCTCTTCTGCCAAATAAATTGGTCGAGCTCGATAACGTGGGGGGAAGAAGAGGGGTTGTGTGTTGAGGAGAGCAGAGGAAGAGAGAAAGAAGGGCGCTGGTTTTCTGGATGAGGACTAATGATTGTTTCCTCCTCCCCATGACCCCTGGGAAAAGTTTGGGTTTTTCTTTTGTCCAGGGCCACGGTAATGGCGGGAAAGACGATGCAACATGATATCCTCGGCCCGAACACATCACCAGCACACAACATCAACAACTCGCGCAATAGACTCCATTGGGGGCCGATCCGAAGCGCGCAACATCGGATTGGCTCGCAAAACCTCTTGTTTTATCCGTCAACAAGAACTCCTTTGGGTGGGAAATGGGAAATCTTTTCAAAACACACCGACACCAATTGCCTATCATAGAAAGCATAGAGCATGATACACGAAAAGATGGGCTGAGGCCCCGCCAGAGGGTTGTATAATAGTCGCTTTGTAGCTTGCAATCATAGACCGG